CGGCAGCTGCCTTTACTGGACGTCCTCATCAAACGCAGACTAAATGGTGAATTCAGCAGCACGGTGAATAGAAGGGCGTCTAACACAACCAAAGTTTTCAGCTTCCGTAGTAACCACCCAATGGCGCATCAATTTGGTTGCATTAGAGCACGCTTTCAAAGGGTAAAAATATTCTGCAGTGGACCTGAGGGACGATTGCGAGAATAACGGCATCTTCGGCATCAAATCACAAAGAATGAATACCCGAACAGCTTTGTCAGCTTTGGTTGCCTCCGTACGCGCCCACTGGGAAAAAACGAAGGAGAGCCACTAACACTCTGGCACCCTCTACCACACATAACAAATGTGTCAGAAGCAACTAAACGCAGCGCTGCAAAGCTTGTCGTGCGTATTGCTTATCGTCCAACAGCTGCCATGCGTTCGTGGGTCGTGCAAATGAAATGCCAAATGGAGGTAGTTGAGCAGTCTGGCGTCGTTCATCAGGTGTCATGTCGCGATTGCTCTTGCCATTATACAGGGCAGACTGGGCGACGAAGTAGTTCGGAGCACAAACAGTAAGTGTGGAAATGCGACCCACTGTCCCCAGATCGCTACCCACAATCTGAGAGACGGCCACGAATTCGGTTTCATGAGCAAGCGAATAATGGCACGAGTCAGTGATAAGACGGGGCGAGAACCATTCGAGATCCGGGAGTCAGACTCGAACTCTATCAACAGGCATGTAGATATGCGGCCTTGTTATTTTGCCCTCCGTTCGCACGACCAAGAAGCACGGCCAAGTTCGTGTCTAGGCAAGCACGCCATAACGCAAAGGAAGCACGCCGAGACGACATGAGCATGGACTCGACCAATTACGCATGTCACCCCTCCCAGCAATTCCTCGTACCTGGACTACAAAAACATACGAATGCTTGCTGTCCTCTCATTTTCTCTGAAGATGGTATCCTGTACGAGCTCAGACTACTACAAGTGCTGTACGAGTGATCGTGCCTTTGTCTTCCTTTTTTTATTATTTTCAATGTCTATATACAAGGCAAAATATACGCAATTTTGTTTACGGTCCCAAATCTCCGCTGCGGTAAAACAACATATATCCAAAACTTCTTTACTGCGTTTTCTGAAAAAACGCTTCAGACGTTTGCAAAAATTGTTTTTTACAATTGAAATTGTTGCTTTTTACTGCAAAACATCGTGCTTGCCTTTATCTGATTTGAATCGACACTACATTTCCCGGTTTTGCAATAGGTGTATTCTAAACGTTTTTTACTTATAACGCAATGCAAAAAAACAAAAAGTTTGGGCTTAAATTAAGATGGAAATTTTTTCGATATGCAGAGAACACTAAGTTCGCCGAAATCCAGTTTGTTTTCCTGCAATAAACTGAACTAAAAGTGCAGTTTTTCTCATGAGTCTGAGCGGCAAATTCTCTTATCAGATCAAAATAACGAGACCCAATTTACGCTAAACTACCAACTTCAAATTCGATCTCGCATTGGCATGAGTTAGGCCCCCTACTGCGTGTAATTTGAACATTAACTGCCAAGCTTGAGATCAAATCAAGCGCACAGAACGCTCGCGGAGCCAGCATCAGGCCAGAATCATGAGTTTTAAATTGGTAAAATTGAAGGATTAATAGCTCTTGCTCTGATGCAGTTGCCATTTCCGAAAGAAGTGGAGTCCATTTCCCGGTGAGTTTTCAGACGCATTTAAAAGGCGTCCAGGACTGGAATATCCTGATGCATACACAGTACCAAGCCCTAATAAAACACTGAAAGGTGTATTTATTCGAAAAAGGCAGCCTCTGACACATAAAAAAATCTGCAAACAAGATATTTAAAATTAGGAGGGATTTGGCTTTACGTGACGAGCACCGAGAAGCCTTTCATCGTAATTACTCAATTAATTTGGTCGCAGTTGATCTATAGCACTTCCAGTTGCTATAAGCCTACTATCAGTGCTGCCAGTGCTATTATAGGACTCATGAGAATACTTGTCGTTGGGCGGACACAATACGCTATTGGGCAGCCTATGGGACAGCCTGTCAACTAGCACTCAGAGAGAGCCAATCACAGACTCTCATATTGTATGATTTTTATTATCCCTCAGACGCTAGGACCTTAACGACGAAAATCATCCCCAAATACGGCGGCAGCACTCCCGGGGCCCAGCCACCCATGAACACCGGCGACGTCCGCCATCCCACCATAGCCCCGCATGCAAAACCGCTGACAAAACCTCTGGCCCCTTCGCCCACAACTGCTGAGATCAATTCTGACCAGCCACACTACCAGAACTGGGGACTCTATCCCAAAGTGTCCTCTGTGCGATCGCGCATAGC